CACCAATATACTGCCAAGTTTTGCTGGAGATAATTGTGATGTCCGAGGCTGTATCTAGCTGAAGACGCACTTGTTGCTCGTTCAGGTGAACTCTGATGTACTTTCTGCGAGCCACATGTTCATCAGAGTAGGCCGCTTGAACCGTACTATAGTTGCTGAATCTTTTGGGAACAATTAAATGCGGTCGCATATGTCTTGCACGCTTGAACTGCGGTCTGCATCGGCAGTGCGTTTCCTTATGGCCTCGTTTATGACACTTGTGGCAAACGTGTTGCAGGAATGGACACACTCGAACAAAATGCCACTCACCACATCTCCAACAGGCAGTCGGCGGCTTGGTATTCTGTCGGCTTTTCATGGCCTGTTTCACTTGGAAGAGGTTTCTTTGAGGTTTCTTTTAATACACTAAGACTTGGAGTTGATCGTTGCTTCTCCAGCATAAGCGTGTCATGTTTGAGGTTCAGCAATCGTTGGCATTCAGTGGTTATGGTCTGTAGAGTCATTTGCTGATCTTGTTCAAGTTTACTCAGCAGCCTGGTGCGAATCTCTGCATCCCGTGGGGAATGTAGGCCAAGATAAAAATCAGGCATTTTAACTGATCTGCCGTAATTGATTTGATGTCGAATTTTTCGCACTCGCGATTGACGATGCCAGCGTAAGTGACGTAGTCATCAACGTCCATCTTGGTGATCTTCAGGCATTGACATCGCGTGTTGAAGATGGATGACTGCTCTCCAAATATTTGGCCCAAGCATTTGACAGTCTCCTTAAAAGTGCAGTCTCGAGCATTCTTAGGCGAGGTAAAGTTGACTTACCTGGAGTGCTCTCATGTTCCAAGTTTCCTTAACAGCAATCGGACTTTCCAATCGTCATCATGGTCTCCAAGTTCAACGCGGAACACATCTTCATAACGCTTGAACCAAGATTCAAAAGTTAGGCCATCATTGGGGTCGTACGAAAATTCGGTAATGCGGTTACTGATGGCGTCTACCGATGCGGACGGCTTGACGGTTGTAGGCAGTGAACCGGTCTGGATTGAGAGTTGGCGCGTAAGAGTTTCCATTAGCCTGAGTTGGGATGCCTCAAATTGTGCTTGTTGCTGCAGCAGAATGGCCTTGAGCTCGTCAGCCGATATGGACATCTTGATTAGGGTTCAACCCGTCGCCAGTTGAACTGTTCGTCCCTCGCCTGAATGGACGCTTGATTGCCAATCAAACCAGAAGTCGCTGGCCCCCCACAGGACAGAGAGAAGACGAATCGGACGAGCAAAGCAACAGGAATGAATTAGCAAATCACACCGTTCATTATAAAGGTAAATTGGAAAGTTCGTGAATAGTATATTTAAAGCGACCGTGGAAAGCTCTGGAAAGGTTGACTTACAGCCAATAAAGGAACTTCAACCTAGTGTTCATTGGTCGCTTCTCCTGGTTGGCTCTCTGTTCGCCCCAATCAGGGCGGATGAGTTTGGATAGCCGGCCGAGGCGATGGAATCCTGGCTTGTTCGACTCTTGTATTCCTTCCTAACACCCCTGTGCCTAGAACAGTCTGTGCGACTGCCCTACCTGTATATTGCCACTATACTTGATTCGCTCCAGTTAGCCGGCACGCTTGCTTCCTTACAGGTACGTTCGAATGAGGTGGTCAATGCTTTGCAAAGGACCTCACCTCCGGCCTTAAATAGTATAGGTGGGAGGGAATCCGGGCCAGCAGCACGAAAACGATTGACGGCTGTGATCACGTTTCGGACCTCGGCCTCCGACGATAACTCTAAACTAACCGTCCATGGCTCGTCCTGCATCACTGGCTTGGCTTACCGAACTACTTTCTCATGATGCCAGCTTGGTGGTTCGGGGGTTCCCCGTTCCAGCCTAGTGTTCGGCGACAATGTTCCACCTCAGTGGGGAATTGTATTCCAGCAATTGTGCTGATTTCATGGGAAGTATTGGACCGCTGTTTGGCTACCTACCAAACAAAGAATCATGAACTGAACATTCAGTCAGAGCCTCACAATAGGCGCGATTCCCTAAATTCGCACCGCTGCCTTGCGGGTAGGTTATTTAGCTAAAGGCTAGGGGTGGAGTCCCCTAAATCAACTCCCTACTTCGGCTTGGGCAACCAGATGGTATCACGCCCTCTCATAAGACCATGGACTGTACTACAGCATGCTCCTCAGCTACTGTTCCTGTTTTTCACATTCACGCGACTTCATCACACGCCAATTGTTTGTTTGCTAAGAATCCTCACTGTTACCCGATTCATGTGTTCAACAATCTGGCTGCGATTCTGCTTGCGCCGTGGACCACGGAGTTCCACCCGTGGCTCTCCTTCGTCCCCGATCTTCCTTCCGTCTGGCGTGCTTCTATGTTCGGGCAATCATGCAGATTGGACAGCAAGCCGGTCCAGCACGCACCCTAAAGGACCTAAACATTGCTGTTTGCTGCTTTTCAGAAACCCGATTGCAACATCCCAGCACTGTGCTTACACTGACATCATCCACTGACCACGAAGCCAGAGATCACATGCGTCTTTCTGGAGATCCAGAAGCAGCCTCAGCGGGTTTGGCTGGTGTAGGTATAGCACTAAGTGGCAAGGCCGAGGCGCCAAGGTGCATGTGAGTGCAGCCTGTGAACTTGTTTGTCTTAGAGTGCGAACCTTGGACGCGCCATGGTAACTAGACAGTGTGGTCTTCTAAGGGGCTGTGGCCGACCGGCGTCCGATGGGTGTTGTGGGAAGGTAGCTGCAGATTCGGCAGCGGAAAACCGTTTTTCTCCTATGCCAGGGTTACATTAAACATACCTTTACTTTACGTTAAACTTTGGAGCAGCGCCGCACTTTTTTGACCTGTCGCATTAACTTACTTGATATCAAATTTGTCTTCAAATCGGTGTTTCCTTGCGCCTTTTGGAACTGTCTGTTCAGAGTGTTTACCCAAAAATTACGTAACAACTCTCAGGGCGATTTGCATATGTAGTTTTGGCTGAATGATGACTTACGACAAGCTGTCGCTACCCTTTAGTATCACCAGGGATATGCGACAAGGATGATTTTTGTCACCTTTCCTCTTTTGCTTCACTACTGACAAAGTCATGCATATGGTATTCACTGAACGCAACCTACACGGTGTAGCGCTACTCGAATGTGATTGATTTCTTGACTTGAACCGCGTCCACGACACTACATTTGTCCGTGACAGCTTCCAAATGTCCCATGCGAAACTGGACAGATTAGCTTTTGCTATCAGTTGTTTGGGGCTATACTTTTCTTCTTGGAAGTGCAAATTCCTACACCAAATCTGGTTTAGCTTTACGCCTTCGCTTGCCCTTGGTGGTGATTCGCTGGCAATCATCCGGAAATTCAATTACCTTGCAGCTATATCATCTATAGTGGAAAAGTCGATGAGATCATGAACCGTGTAGTAAATGTTAAGGCGCTTTCGCTAATCTCTGCTACCTTTGGCGCCGGTGCAACATCATTGTCATTCGGCATAGCATAGTTAATACTGCAACCGTCTGATCAACTTTCCTGTGTGCTTGCAGACTTTGGCCCATCATCTCTACCTTCACGGCTCAGCTCATATCCGGTGAGAACATCGCGTGAGCAGTGAGTGTGTTTGGCCTCGTGTATTTGGTGCAGAAAGAGCGAGTGAACCGCTCAACTCCGAAGTTGGACGACATTTTGCACATGTTAGCACACCAGCGTCCGCGTCGTGCCCTGTTTTAGCGACCGGTAAAAATAGTAGGATAAAGGAAGAGGTGGACAGCTCAAGCAATTACTTGCTCAAGAGAAATGTAGGTCCTTACTTCGAATTTGGCATCGGTTTGTGTCTCCAGACTGCCGGACTGAAGTCCAAAGGACCGTAGGTGCTTCTGATTGGATACACTCGCTGACATGTTGTGGAGCTACCCTCAATGACAATTGTGTTGTAAGTTTCTTTGTCCTTCCCCATCCCGCCTAACCTCTACTTGTAACCACTACCTAATTAACCATAATTAATAATACATTATTTTTTGTTTTTATTTTACATTTATACTATTTACTTACTCGCTTTTTATATCCCGCATCCTTTTCATTACCACACGATAGCTGAGGTGTTTTCCACGTTTAGCTAGAGTGTACTGACGACCATAATTGTAAGCGACAATTAGCTTTAGTAGGTCTTGAGCCAACGCGCATCCATCCGCTCAAATGAGAAACAAAACCAGTACAGGATACTGGTACTAGTACGAACAATTTAGGAAATAAAAACAATAATTATTTCGTGTACAATACTTCCAACTCAATGCAGTTTTGATAAGAGCCATTCGTTCCGAGACCAACAATATGGATTTCGAAGCGTCAATGGAGATGCAGTGTCGAAAACAAAGGATATTTTGTCTTACAGAAGAGGTGGATGTGGTGCGATTAGTTTCTCCTGCGAACCGCACTTAGTCTGCATGAGTGTTGGGATGGAAGGATGTCAGGTTTTTACAGTATTCATAAAGTGGGTCAAATCACTGAAGCAATGCAGGTTGTTAACACCTATCGTACTCAGTGCGGAAAGGTGTGCAAACTCCAGTGACTAGAGAACGTGCAGAGATAACAGAGAACTGTATGCATAGACAGAATCTAAGCAAGTTTTGCAATGCTGCACTGGATGGCACGGGCGTGGGGAGACAGGAAAGCGACAGGGTTTGAAGTTTGTCAACAGGGTTCGCGTGTATAGGGTTATATGGACTGGAAATCACAGTAGTCCTTAATTACAGTGGGTGGGTCGGCGATAACATCGTTAGCGGTGGTTCACGTGCCAGGTGAGGAGGAATGAGCACACCGCGTGCGGAATCCTTCTACAATAATGATGAACACATGTTGAACATCTTGTGTCGCCTGCTTGGAAGGGGAGTAACTAAAGCCGTAAGTTGCATTGTAGGACTTCCGCCTTATTTGTTTTCGAGACTAAGTTAATATAAAATTATGTTTTGTAAGCGAACTCACTTCCTAGGGTTTTCTTCTATGCCCTTCCAATGTTTTTTTTTCGCCTTCAGTTGGTTTTATTACGGTTTTTGACTCTACTTTCAGGTTTAAACAGAGAGTCTTCAGTGCAGTGGGCGGCATCTCAGAAAATAACATATTACCATAGTGCTTTCGGAGTAGCTTACTCTGTTGAAGGCTGCGACTTTTGCTCCTGTGGTTTTACGATGGTAAGTAAACGCAAAATAAATGCAACACATAACATTATCGAACAGATGATTAGACGTAGATTGCTTCATCCCTAACATCAATGACTGATAATGGGCATCAATTATTTAACATTGCGGTTTTAATACTACTAACTGCAATCTCATGCTTCTATTCGTCTCTGTGTCGGTTACTTTGCTTTTTTATGCTACCATCCATTTGGATTGTGTCCCAAAAAACAACACGTAGTGTGGTAAGGTTGATAATGATCGATCTTTAGAACGCACCTACCCACTCACATCGTCCGGACACTTCTTTCTGTGCACCTACTATCCATACCGAGAACTAATTTCACATCAGCTCACTATATATTCATATGTGCTTTCGCTCTTTAACTTCACTAAGTAACTAATTTCGAGTTTTTCAGTTTTGTGTGATTATTTGCCTGGTTGAACTCAGCCTCATACAGTTCGTTTGCTTTAACTGCTTAAGCTGTAAACTTATCGAATCAAGAGTAATGGCACATGCGGTAATGTCTTTCTAGCAGGGCAGTTTTAAGACCTCTAGCCGACCGTACCACCCGAGCCATTTAAGAACAACACAGATTTATGAATTATATAGGTTGCTTCACTTTTTGAAACAGGCGGATGATAGTGACAGGCAAATAATGCATTGAAGAGTTATAGGTTATAAAATTTATTCGTTCTCTAATATCCTTCCTACTCATTTATGATATACCGTACACACCCATTATCATGCAATTTTCTGTATGCAGGACGAGCTGGCGGTGCGGAGTCTTCTTGAAACCAAACCGAGGACACCTATTAATCCTAGCACGCCAATTTGATTGAAGACTTAGTCTACTAAATGTATCTGAATTTTTGTCTTAGATCCTCAGATTGCAAATTGAAAGGAATATGAAAGTAGCAGTATCTAAAAACTACCCAACCGGGTTATAGGCTTATGGCAGCTTGCGTCAGTGGAACACTCAGTGACAGCTCTGTAGCTCAACTTTATAGTATCAGCATTACGCTGAGATTCATTGCCAGCTACTCGTCGTCAAGCAACTATCAGCGGCTACAATCACACCGGAATACTGTTTATTATCCCACATTCGCACTGGTTCGAATCAGTCACCTGTGTATGAAAAAGCAAACACCTAAATCACTCCCCCATTTTATCGCTTTTGTGTAGGGCACTTTTATAAGCGTACTGGTCTATTGCCATATGTGATGATTACTCGGTTAGTCCACTACGCAGACTGCAACCTGACCGATAAGTGTTACACCTTATTTGAAGCTGGAGTATGAACTCAGGTCATGTGCGTTTCCGTCTGCTTGCTTTGGTTCTTCTTTGACCTGGGTTCTTAAGAAAGTGGTAAAGTCATCTGGAACTGACCAACTTATCGTGAAACGGTGAAACGTATATATTGTCTCAGTCGGACAAGACACTTTGAGCGGGGTAGTAATATTCATGAAGAGAGATCATGAGATTTCTCTGTCATAGGAGTATATAATTGAATCCGGTACTGATAAAATCACCAATCGTTGCTCTCCGCCACCTTTTCGCTCAAGGGATATTTTAGATGGAAAATAATATGTATGTATTCGACAAGCATGAGAACGTACACTTCATATATTTTATCCTGTAACAACTGTTAGTGACACCGTACTTGTGCGGCGTAGATAAAGCATATAGCAGATCCAACGCAAACGGTGTTAGGGTATAATGCAATGCAGGTAAATACTGTTTGTTCCGAATGCACAACTTTGCTACTCCATAGTACCCAACTGGTGCTACCACCACACGTGAGCAACTCTCGTTTTGATAGTCGGCATCGTCATTACTTGCTACAATACCAGTGGTTACACTCTTGAAACCCCATGCCTTCCTATTTAGTAACTGAAGCATAGATCTTCTCTACAAGAATGTGGGACCATAATTAACGCTGGTGTAAACAAACTTACTCACTTACAACTCACTTAATCTTATTTGTTGACCTAAACAACTTATGGCTCACCTACACTTCCCACCAATGAGAACTTATTGATGCCACCTGACATGAACGATGCCCGATGGGCGACCATATTAAACGCCTTGAAAACATCTCAAATCAAGCGAACCACCTCTTTTTGCTCTGGAATTGTACGAAGTTTAACTTGCCAGACTTTCAACAGGTCAACCGAGAAGACTTCTACCAAGCACGCTTTATTGCTAATACATCTACAAATGATTAGTCACAGCTCGACTCAAACAGGCATCCACTACACATCCAGGAAAGCGCTTTCCTGGATGTATTGTGGCTACTTCTTTGAGTCTAGCTGCGTCGAAGCTTCGTAAAAACACTAAAACCCCTACTCATCATCATCCTCAATGCACTTTAGCCGAGGATGAGAAACACACCTTGGCTACTGTGCTGCAATACAAAAGTAAGCTATTAGCAAAGCAGACTTAAAAGGTATAAAAAAGTAACCTAATGCCAATAGCACCTTTTTGATGGTTGTTGGAGGGGGAAGACAAAGGGTAAGGGAAGACAAAGAGACTCACAGCACAAACGCCACTGTGATCGCCTCTACACCATGTCAGCTAGTGTATCCAACCAAAGGTGTTCATCATCCTTCGGTCCCCAGCCAGGCAGTCGGGAAACACCAACCTACGCCAAGTTCGAAGTGAGGGACTACATCCCTCTTGACCAAGTCATCGCTTGACCTCCCCTCCTCTTCGTCCATCCACATCCATTGCGCGCAACCAACGCACGTCGCAGAGTCGGTGGGCTAACATGCGCAACTCGTAAGCCAACCATCGGCGTCTAGTGCGGGATATAACGATGCTGAGCGGTTCACTCCCACTTACTGCACCAAATACGCGACGCCGAACGCATTCATTGCTCACGCGATGCTCCCACTAGACATGAGCTAAGCTGTGAAGGCAGCGCTTGTCGAACGTGACTAGCTTCTTTATGTCTGTCGCGTTGATGGGCCAAGTTTCTCAACCGTGCCAAAGGGATACACGGACGACTGCATCGTAAACTTTGCCCTTCAGAGCGAAAGTGATGTCACGCCGGTGCCACAGATGGCAAAGATTAGCAAAAGCACATTGACCTTTCTCTATACGGTTCGTGATCTCATCTCTCGTTCCGCTAGAGCTGATATAGCTGCAAAAAGTACTTGCATTTCCCGTCCACTTCTAAATTATCACTGCCAAGGGTCAGCGAAGAAGTGGGTCTCTGCCAATCTTAGAGAAGATCTTTGCATTTTGACGGTGCAAAGCATAGCCCGAAACGACTGGCAGCCAGAGCAAATTTATCCAATGTAGCTTGGTACGTTCGGGGCCTGTCACAGACGAGCGTAATGTCCTCGCCATACTCCAAGTCGAGAAGCCATTCATCAGGGAGCAAGTCCACACCTTCCAAGTCGTGCCCCGTTTCCATGACTTCCTCAGTGGCCTAGTTAAAATAGGAAGGTGACAGCGGGGAACCTTGTTTTACACCGCTTGTGATATTAACGGGGCGACAGCTTGCCATAAGCCTTCACTTTGCCTCAGCTAGGCATGTATAATACTCGGATAATGTTTACATGTTTCTCGGGCATATCGATCAACCGAATCAATGGCCCCTTGATGTCTAGGAACACGACTATGGTGGGTTGCCAATAAACATGGCGGTGCTCGTACTACTGAGATACTGTGAAGACGTGGCCAATGCAACCTCGATTTCGACGAAACCCGGCTTGCTCCTCGTGCATCTGACTTTCGCGAGTGCCAGCCAGTCTATGAAGGATGACAGGTGCGAGCAATTTAGAGGCAACAGAGATCAAATAGATTCCTCTACGACTGCCGCATTGGAAACGCGAGCCCCGTTTGAAAATTGAAACTATTATGGAGTGCCTCCAGTTTGTCGGGACAGTCTCTGGCTCCGATAGATTCACTAGTAAGTTGTGTAAATCGTCCAAAACAGCAGGTCCCCGTAATTTGAGGGGGCTGAATGAAGTTCATCTGCTCCGGCGGCCTTGTTAACTTTCAGCCATCTGAACTCACGTTCGATTTCTGCGTGTGAAGACGCATCCAAGGGAACGGCCCAGAGGTTAGGGCGGTGATTGGCCGATGTAGAAACTGACGCCTCTGACTGACTGAACTGCTCCTCAGTTTTCGGCCTAATGCTCCAAGCGCTTTGACAAGCTGTGGATCGGCTGTCCACTCTCGTCACGTATCGCCTCGTTAACACCAGGTTTTCTGCTGCCCGTTTTTTGTATCCGACGGAATAACTTCCGATGGTTACCAAGGATAGCAACTGTTTCCATCTCCGAGGCATGACGAGACCATCAGGCTTCGCGGTCCCTTTTCGGGATAGCACGTAGTTTCGCCCTAAGAGCCTTGGGAATCTCATTGCATTCGCTTGCAGCTGGAATACCTCGGCGAGCATTCATTAGTTCTAGAGACTATGTATAGACCCTATGTCCAGGTTAGCAATTTGATCTACCACATGAAGACATGCCTGCTGCTAATAACGTCTGGCGGATATGCGACCATTGAACCTCGACTGTGTTCATTGTGCGTTTAACCAGGTCAGATGACAGCGTACTTTGTTACGCATTCAGAATACCTGGCTTCGCCAGGTGACAAATATCCATGCTATAGAATTGAAGACTGGAAACTCAGGTTGTTCATATGGCGGTTGAACTGTTCTCTGAGCTTAACAATTTTTTGCAAACGTTTCGTCACCAATCGAGGTGACGTCATCAGTGCGTAGTTGAGTAGCGTGCGGTAGCGCAGAGGAGCCTTGGTGAGAGTGCACTCTCACCGAAGGCAATTTTCGCTTTTATGGTTTAAACCGGTGTCAACTGCTGGAGTTTCCTTTGTCACCTCCCATCGACAGACAGCAAAACGCTGGCACCTTCGTAGCTCTAACCAATCATTTTCCCTGAGTATATGGGACAACTCTTTCTTTGAGTCAGTAACACACTGGAATCGAAATGGGAAAATAAGACAACCCTGATGGACACAAATAGTTCCTGAGGATACCTCT